TAAGGTGGGAATATACCAAGCAGAGCCGAGAGGCAAACGTCGCCATGCAAAGTGCAGCACAGTGGCAACGAGGGTCACCACGAACATGGCCACCATGAAGCCTAGCAGGATTGCGTTAAATCGTCTCGAGGAGGAGGAGAACTTTCGAAAACCCGGCTTCCCATTCAATGACAACTTCGTGTCACCGCCTGTGTACACGGCCACACCGAGAATGAAAGCGGTGTGTCGAAGAGCTGCTCCACGCAAAACCAAGTTGTTCAGGGAGAGAGGAATTGACTCCTTTTCTGCACAGTTGAAACTACCATCAAACGACTTCAGGTCCTCGTTTGGATCCTCACACATTATCTCCGAGTGCGGCAGATCGATCGTGACATTGTCGTACTGTCCCTCTCCCACACGCTGCACTGTTGATGCCAAAGCAGACTGTGTGAATGACAGCGTGTTTGTGGTTTTCACACTCGACTCCCCATCGAGGTTGTCTGTTGTGATGTAGACTTTGCCGTTGGTATTGCTTGAGGCCAGAAGCAACATGTCGCAGGGAAACGAGTTGTTCTCGTGGCAAATTATGATATCTCCACAACGAAGGTTTTGCGAGTGTCGATTCTCCCATCGTGAGGTTTGTCCATTTGGGTCGTGAGTTAGGACTAAGTAGGGTGTTCGGTTAAACTCACGGTCAGTTTTGTGACGCTTCATATCGTCGATTGCATCCTTTACCATTGATATACCAACGACGATTACAAGGGGAGCAATTGTTGTCAATGGATTGATAGGAGTCTCACCAAAGAAGTATAGAATGGAAATTAGGAGGAAGAAAAAGTTTGCGATGATATGAAACTGTTCGTATAAGTCCATAAAGAAAAAACTCCACCATGTGTAGTGGGATGTGATAATTTTGTTGTCGCAAAAATGCTTATTATTTTGAGATGCTTCCTCAAATTGACTGGGTATGTGGTTGACAATAATGGTGCGACCTTTAGTAGCATTTTTTTTCTTCGACCACCGCGATGGAAAATGGCTTTGAATATGCAAAAGACATGAGGGTACTCCACCCATATGAATGATTCCTTCGGGTTGTATAACGCTTACTCCTCCCGATCACATGTTCAAGGCTTTATTAAATAGGAGCCAGAGTCGACCTTGAGATCAACTTATCTGGACCACTGACTAAAATTACGATGAAATCTAACATAAAAAGCCCCATTTATTTGCTGTACGATGTATGGTTTATCTGTAAAGTTTAATTTAGAAACTTGTGTAAGGGTAGTATTTAGTCTTTAACAATCAAATAAAAATTAATTATGGCTGGGTTCGAACTCGCAGCATAAAACTATTTCGAAATATACAAGGTATACCCGATTAACAAGTGTTTCAATGACGAAACAGACTGACTGATTTGGTGGTTAAGAAGCACTTTACTTCGGCTGCTAAAGGAAAAGACATCAACTTTTAACACTTACTGTAAAAAAGTAAAATTTGAAGCCTCTTAAGCCACAGTTCGCCTTCGCTTTGATGAAAATTGATAAATATTAAAACGATCGCCTATACTATATATCGATTTCTTTCAAGTTAATGTTTCTAATAGTAGTTAGAACGCTTATTCTAAATTGTGTATTCTTTAATTAGATTATCTTTGCATTTTATAATGACATATGTTGTGATTCTTGTTATACGTGACCATTTGATGTCTGGTGTTGACTTTAGAATTCGCTTAGCTCTTGTACTCGTGAGTTGGCCTTTGGACTAAGCCTAGTATGAATCCCCGAACACGTGCTTTAGGCCCGACTAATTGCCCTTTTCTACCTGGTAGGAAGTTTTGGACAATGTAATTCCCTTTAGCTTGGTAGAATACGAGCCGTTTTAAGAGCTATTACAACTAATCAGTTTGGTAGATCCAAATTTAATTTTGCTAATTAAAAACAAGCTGTTTGTAAGGACCTGTAATTTGGAGCATAACATGGGTTGGCCAAGTTATGGGATGCTTTTATCCATTGAATATCAGTTAAATCAAAGCGAATTGAGCAAAACTTTGTACATCTTCGCAATTTCATAGGAATCCGAAGAAAGAACGTAATAAGTCGAGCTGAATTAAAAGATGCGACAAAGTGTTGGTCTTTGAAATGGTGAGCATAAGCAAAATGAATTCCGAAGTGACCGTCAGTCATACAAGTGACCGAATAAAGAAGGTATCAAATTACCATGCTCGTCCTTCAAGTTCCTCTATTACTCTATCTTCGGTACGCCTTCCAATTGAGGGCTAGCCGTTCCTGTTATCAGCTTTCATGAGGCTTAAAGAGTTTGCTCAGCCCCTTCAGCGACTTTAAGTAGACTTGGAATTATATCGGTCTTTCTACTGACTATTTGTTGTGCCCAGGGCCACATGTGAGAACATTGGCGTAAAATATTCTTATTAAGATAAATAAGATCGGAGGCGGTTCCTTAGGGAGGCACAATCTTTGTTTAAGTAACGACTTAATGTTTGGCGGGACTATGTTATTTGTCTAGTCTTTGTACACTTGGGCCGGTCCTGCTGACCCTCCAGCCATGCCTCGACTTTGGTCCTTCTTCTTCTCTAGGATGCATGAATTCAGACCAAATTAATGCCTCAGAATGCCACAAGGGGAGTCTAGCGAAGTACCGTCACCATTATTAAACGCGATCGCGATCAGAGTGGCTCCATAAGAAAACTTTTCCAGATCACCTTGATGAAAACTAAATAATGGGCTGGGTGCCAAGGGCAGACATCATTCTTAACTCTTCTATTATGGAAAAGCAAAAGATTTCCCACCTGGAAAACATTCTCTTTATTTGCGCTGCGAAATTTAATTGCAAATAATGGTAACGAGAGTAAAGGCCGTAAAAAGTGCTATCTGCTTTCCACTAATACCAGATCAAAATCCTGAGACTTAGTACTACGTAGAAGTGGGCATTGGATGGACTAAGTACTCATGTTTGGAGGCACAAGAAAGAGGTTGAGCGGGGAAAGCGCATGAACGTCGGTTACCACCACTTATACATGCATCACAGCTTAATTGCCGCTATTGACTGCCAAAGGGTCAAATGTTCATTTTGCCTTAATGAAATTTAAAAAATTCAAGTATTAATCCAAGTCTACCAAAAGAAACGTTTTATGAAGATCCACTTGTAGCGGTTGGTAGCGGCTCCGAAATGGGGAACTTATTCACTGATTGCAATATTTATTACAATATCTTTCCACCTTATTGAAGTGTAAATGCTATGGGAAGTAAAAGGACTAGAATGTTAGTCCGCCTTCACTATTTGCTTTATTCCCGTGGTCCACAGGTGACCCGCTTAAAGCACACAAATGTCTGCCGCATACTATCTACATAAGTTTTCTGCTCGAATTCTCCTAGTTAAAACTGCATATTGATCCAAAGTACGTGGGATTCGAGCAAATATTACTCATTCAAATCTGAGCCATATGGAGTCGAAATATTCGGATTAGGATACACAGGTGGATATCGAAGCTTTGAACCGATGGTTAAATGTTACTCCAAGTCCAGCTGAATTTCATGGGAGAAACCAATATTTATAGAAGATGTGATTGGCTGTCGCAACTTTTTGCTTGTGGACCAATTTAACGCAACTCTGATTGCGTGTGTGATAGTTGGTGTAGTATCTCCTTATCTGCCCTTAGGCCTCCGAGCCTCTGGCATTATGTGGCTGTCGGTTCGGGGAGTATGTATTTGGTACCTTGCACAGAAAAGGAAAAAGAAAGTTGTGATACTTTGGTTACGTGACCATCTGATGCCTGACAGTTACTATAAGATTCGTCTGGTCCCTGTATGCGTGAGCTGGACCACGGGCCAATCTCAGCCTTGGCGCTTTTGATCTCTCTAAAATACGTGTTTTTAGTTCCACGTAATGCCTTCTTCTACCCGATGGGAAGTCTTAGAACTCTACAAGAACATCAGTGAGATGTCACCCTCCGGACGTACCTCCGCGCTCCTTACAACTGGGATTCGTGTCCGAATTGCTTTAGCCCCTATCCCCTAGAAAAGCAACTTAAACACGTATGCATAACAGATGGCAAAAAAAATTATTCGAAGTGCCAACTAATGAATTTTTTCGTGTTGCTTTCAGTAGCGGCCCATGCTCTCTAAGTGTGAACTGGTGCTCAAGCCACGCGGAAAGTTAAAAATCCTCCTTATATGTAAAATTGCATGCACTAGTTCCGGGTACCTTAACTCCTCCCGAAATGCTAACCGTATTCGTAGAGAATTACCGTAATTTTGAAATTCAGTAGCTATTGTAAAATCCACTCTGCGATATTTGCTTGTTTTCATAATTAATGGTGATTATTTTCATTCTCTGCTTTTAGCAGAACTAACGAGCTAGCAGCTCTTGCGAAATGTGTATTTCATAAATATTTTCTTTTTTCGTGAGTCTAAATCAGTATCAACGTTAAGCTTAACTAAGTATCAATGGATCCACCTTAGTTTATACCAATTGCCTTCGAGCGTGGCGTGTCAAAATACCGCGGCTTTGTGTTACTGCTCGTTTGTCAGTCGCTCCCTGCATGGTCACCAATTTCATCGGAATATTACGATCACTGCGACATATAACAACGCCCTTCGATAAAATACATTGTTCCGAACATACTTAGCCTCCCTTTTATGGAATGAAGGCCTTTGGTAAGCATGTCTAAGCAGCGAAAATTTGTTCAACGTCTTGCGCACGGTGGAGTAATCAGTTCGAAGCCGGGTGAAAGTGAAGTTACTCCCGAGGATGCGTTCTCAAATTTTGTAAGTAATATTTCATCTAGAATATTTACGGAACACCCTCTCTCGGTTGTGTACTAAGATAATACCTGTTCATCTTGTTTCCTTTCTTACTCTCTGTGCACCTACGAGTTGCTGTTGGTGATTAAGTGGAAAATGTCAGCTTCAGTTTGCAGGTGTGACTAGGGTCATAAAATTGTATTCGTCTTAGGACCAGGTCAAAGATGGGTTCTTTTTCTTAAGAAAATCTCCTGCGTCAGTGAACCGATCGACTATGAACAGTACCTTGTGCGGAACAAAGCCTCGATAATGAACGATCCGCACAGAGATTTGGTATTGTTTCCCCCTGACGACGTGAAGGTATGTGAACTGTTTCACTAACCCGCCTTCACCTTGTCCACCTCCTCCATCTGTTCGTGTGTCCTCTGTCATGGTTTGGATGTGCTGATTCACTGAATGAGAGCTCTGGTCTCGGATGCGGTTTAGCATCGACTGCTGCATAGTCGGTGGATGGTGCTTTGTTGAGCTCGCGACCTTAGGTGTAAGCTCGTGTTGTGTTTGGTGTGGTGGTGGGTGTTGGTTGATCAGTGCAATGTAGGATGTGGACGGTGGTAGTGAACTGTTACTTGCAGTGTTGAAACCGATGTATGGGGTGAAGGAGTCATGTGAAGTGGTCGTTGTCGTCGCGGTGGAAAGGTGGCATCACCAAACCCTAACTTTGGTCCTCCGTTGAGGCGAGTTCGTAGAGCTGCGTGTAGATGGTGAAGACTGCTACATTCTGGTTGTCATGTGTGTTTTGAGATCTGCATGCTTCAAGCGCGAGATGCGGGGGGG